ATTATCATTGTAAACACTTAAAGAGTATTAACTTTTAATTCTCATGTAACCCTTTAAGGATGGAATTATTATTGTCCTCATTTTGCAAATGGGCCAAGTGTATTAGTTTTCTAATGCTGTGTAACAAATTACACAACACCCATTTATTAGTTCATGGTTCTGTTGGCCAGAAGTCTGGGTGGACTCTACCCACTTAACGGTTGCATAGACTGACATGGAGATATTGGAGGGGCTGGATTGGGTGGGGTTTCTCTGGGGAAAGCTCACTTGTGGCCCCCTGCTAAGGCCAAGTCCACGACCTCTCCTCCTGGCCAGTTCCCACTCCTTGCTCCTATGATGCCACATTCCCTCTGGTTTTTCCTACATCATCAGTTTACTCTTTCTATACTTAACTGTTTCTATCCATAAACAGGGATGACTGTTATTTCTCCCACCTCAGTGAGACAGGAAACCTCTCTGACCCCATTGCCTGCTCTGCTACAGCCCCATTTCTAGGAAGCGCTGTTGCTCTCCTGTCTGTCTCTCTCTCCTCTCCTGACTCCATGCAGACCTTCACCACTCCTGCAGCAAGGACAGCCTCCTGGCTGCTCAGCAGGCACCATGTCAGTGACCACTGTCCCCTCCTTTCCTTCCAGTGCTGGGTGCTCAGGTTTCCCTCCTGCCTCACCAGTCCCGCTCCACACCCACTCTGCCTTCTCCTTCTTGCCCCCCCAGATCTCTCAAAGCTGTAGGGACTGGGCTGCTGCTCTCCTGCAATGAGCTCTTAGTCTCCATTTCACAGACCATATTGCATCTCATTTAAGATGCCTTAGATCAAAGATGCACCATGAAGTTCAAGTTCCACCATGGGAGAAAGCAAACACTGCTGCTTAAACTCTCAGGTCCCATCATCTCCCTTTCAGATGTCCCTCTGCTCTTAGGCCCCTATGCTGCCCTGGGGTGATGATGATGTTTCCTGTCTCAAGGTCTCTATGGAGGAACAGGGCTCAGACCTCCCCCTGAGTCTCCCCATCATCCCATCTGTAGGCTCCCTCAGTGTTCTTGAGGTTATACTGCCTGGCACTACACCCAGCTCTGCTGCATATGGTTGTGCAGATATGAATTTATTCCTGGGGTTGTGCAATGTCCAATCTGTGCAACTAGGTATTGTTGACTGACTTCACGCATGCTTCCTTCATAATATCCAGTTCTAGACATTTGAAACTTAAAACAAGTAGGAGGCCCTTTAGTTTCATGCATTCTTTCCCTACCACCTCCTCCCTGTGGCAATCACTATAGTGGGCTTTGCCCCAGTGGGAGACCCAGAAGGCTGTCATTGGCTAGAAGCAGCATGTGCTGACACAGGCCTGGGAACCTCTCTGGGAACCACTGATAATGGTCAGGAATGGCTTTCCAGGGCTTTACTTAGCCAATCAGGACTCTCCTCTGAGTATGGACTGGAGTCTATGGCAATCAGACGTGGAGGCTGCTACCCCTGGGAGTAGGGGCTATGTGGGAGTCATGATGGTGTCTGCTCCACATGTCAGAGGCAGGGGTGCTGAGGCTAGAACATGGCTTGTCCCTTCTGAAAATTTCAGTGACATTTAACTCCCACTGTGAGATGTTAGAGTGGGGCAGGTGGGTGTTCTGGGTGTGACTAGGCCTCTGCCCTCAGGAGGAGTTTGGGTTCATCCACTTGTGATTAGAGAGGGGCTGCTGGACAGGCAAGCTGGATGGGGCTCTCTCTGTGTGATACCCTGCACCACCTTGGGGCTCAGCCACCACCAGATATGGTGCCTCAACCTTGGACCAGAGCTATGAGCCAAAACAGATTTCTTCACGGCTTCCCCATCCACAGCACTGTGTTCTCAGCAACGAGCTAAGAAGTTGCTGTGGTTGGGAGGAAAGAGGCTTGGGTCTGTGTCTCAGCCCATGGACAGCAAGATGTTGGAGAGCAAGACACCTAATTTGGGAGCAAAATCCTAGGCAAGAGGTAAGGATGGAGAAGGGGAGGCAGATTTGAAATGAGGGGTGAGTCTTCTGTTGGTTCCAGAGAAGGAAATGGTACCCAAACCTCTGCTGACCATGGGTCCTTTGTATAGGGGAGCCCTGCACATGGAGGATGGGGACGGGGTGCAGCTTCATGGCTCTTTCAGGGAAGTATCCAATGTGTCATTAATTGGCCTGCCCTTCCGTCCTCCCTCCCTCCCTCTCCCCCTTCCTTCCTTCCCTTTTTTTTTTTTTTCAGTCCTGGGGAATAGAACTCAAGGCCTTTACACTGAGTTTATCCCCAGGCCTTTTTAAAAATTTTGAGACAAGTTTCAAAGTTAATGAGTTCAAATTCAAAATCCTCCTTCCTCAGCCTCTCAGTGCTGGGAATATAGGTGTGCACCACTATATTTGTCTTCTTTGTCCTTTCCATTAAATAGAATTGATATAGTAAGAGATAGGCCATCTCAAGGTTAGGATTTTGATTCATTTCCAAGTCAACAGAGATTTCCTCTGCTTTCCCTGTGTCTATAGAATGTGGAAGAGCACATTCTGAGTGAAGGGTGTGTGTGTGTAAAGGTGTCTAAGAAGTCCCTTGGGGACAGATTAGGAACATGGGCTTGAAACCAGGCAGGCTGTACTAGACCTGGGCCCTGTGGTCCTGGAGGGTGGGGGGCCTCATCGCTGCCTTCCACACCGGGCTACCTCCAGGACCAGAGGCCTTACCTGCAGGATGGTCTGGAGAGCTCCTGCCCCTGTAGATACTCTTAAATGTCAACCACCAGTCTTTGTAAGAATTCTGTGACACCCTGGAATGCGGGTCTTCAGACTTCCATCTCCTTAGAAGTGAAACTCTTTTTTAATTCAATGAAACCTAATATTTATTTATTTATTTATTTATTTATTTATTGTACCAGGGATTGAACCCAGGGCCTCAGGGATGCTAAGCAAGCAATCTCCCACTGAGCTACTTCCTCAGCCCAACCTCATTTTTTATGGTATTATTTTCTTCGGAGAAAAAAACATGAAGATGTTTACAGAGTGTTTTCAAACTAGCAGTGTTTAAAATGTCATGTTTGATCCCTTTCTGGTGGAATATGCAGGAATGAGCCAGTTAAAAGAATCCACTCCAGAAACTTCCACCTTAGCATCCTAGGGAGTGGGTGTGAGCTCGTGTGCCTTCATGAGAGCTCCATTTACTGATGTGTTGGGCTTGGCCTCTAGTTTCTGCTCTCCTTAACATCCTCTCCCCATTTCTAGCCCAGATGGGAAGCAATGAGGAACAGAAGGTCCCCGAGGAGCTAGGACTTACTCAGTACTTATGAGGTTTTCTCATGCAGCACTGGATCCTCCATGGCCATAGCTCCAATTGCTGCTCTGGGAGAAGCCTTGGCTATGGTGCTAAGGCCCTGTCCTGGAATGTTCCAGAAGGTTCATTATAACAGCATTGCTGTGGAAGAAACCACTGTAAAGTGGCAGGAGGGTGTGGTTGTTTCCCAACTAGTTCAGATTTCTTTCATCTGTAATGTTATTTCTTTTAAGTATTAATTTTTTCCCAGTTCTTATAAGAGTCTTCATACACAGGGGAGGCCAGGGATTTAGCTCAGTGGTTCTGTCACCTGCTTTGCAAGCACAAGGTCCTGAGTTTGATCCCTGGTACCAAAAAAAAAACCAAAACCAAAACCAAAAAAAACCCAAAACCAAAACATACACAGAGGAAAGGCTGATTGGCCCAATATAGGACAAAGACCCCATCCCTGGTGGAGGATGTGAGATGTGCAGTAGTCAGTCCCTGGGGCCATGGCCCCACCCCTGTGTCTGCCCTTACCCTAAACAAAAGATACTGCAGCAAATTGCAAGGGAAAGATATTCAGAAAACCAACAGGCTTTGCAGTTTGCTGGAAAACTAGCAAACAAACAAGCAAACAAACAAAAATTAAAAAACAAAATTTTGGAGACTAGGAAGATTTGACCAAATGGATTGATATGCTATAGCTTCCATAGGGAGCTCAAAACACTGGCTTTCAACTGATGGGAAATGTCCTGATTTCCCTGATATAAAAAAGTCTGAGATATATAATAATGAACAAGGACTCCCCCCCCAGCCAAGATGAATCCAGCTATAAGCGGAGATGGGTCCTCTGGCCCCTCCAGGACAAGGATAGTCACACAAGGACACAGCTTGGCACCCACCAGGCTCCCCTGGTCTCTGTTCTCCTCTCAAGAGAAACGTCTGTATCTGCTGGTAGGCTTGGGGGCATCAGAATAGGGTCTGCATAGCAACAGGTACTAAGTCAACAAGGACTATCAGGGCATCAATGTTCATCATGACCTTGTGTGTGTCACTCTCCAGAAGTCACCAGTTGGCTAAATGCAGTCACAGCAGCCCTTAGTGGCTTCACAAAAGGCTGCTGAGCCTCTCTCCAGGGCTTCTCATAATTGAAAAATGCTTCAAGTAGCGGAAGATGACCCCGCCCTCTGCATCATTCAAAAGAGAACTGGGCAGCTCCTGCTTCTTGCGTGTAAACATTCAACGACAATTTTCAAAAGTCAGAGTTTGCCGTACCTTCATCCAAGCACTTTGGGAGGTGCTGATTTTAGATCCCTTGCATTTTTTAGATCAGAGGAAATGCAGGAAAGAGCTTGCACTGAAATCAAGCATTAGCAGGGCAGAGCAAAAGCAGATGCCTTAGAGAATTAGCCAGCATCTTGCCCTATCCCTCTCTGCACTTTACAACACTCGCCACAAGTTTCAGTGTGTATTTGACATTCAAATGCACATGAGATTCATGCATTTTTCAGTTGTTCCCAAGTTCCCTTAATAAGGCATTTCCACAGTGCAGCCAATCCCTGAGCTACAGGCATGTGGGGTCAGGCGGGCTGTTCATTCCGGAAGGGCGGCTGAGACCCTGGGAACCGGACCAGCCCAGCTCACAAGTACACAAGTATGAAGAGAATGTTGGGAGAGGAAGTGGCCGCTCTGAGTCAGCATGAGTCATCCCGTCCCAATGAGAGTGTAGGCTGAGGTGTGTGCGCCTTTTTTTTTTTTTTGGGTCTTAATCATGTGGACATCATTGGGAATGGGGGGAACTAAGTGACTGTATGGTGGCTGCTTTGTAAGTTTCAAAGCAACAACAGCAGCTGTGCCTGAGCCCGTGCATGCCTTGGGGCCAGTCACAGCACAGTTCCTGAGAAGGTGGAGCCCTCAGCTTCTCCCTGGTGAGTATGTTTCTGACGTTTTCCCATGAAAGCTGCATGTGTGGCAGGGTCTGGCTATGTCAAAGCTGTTGCTTCCTGGAGTGGACACTGCGTTTTGTTTTGTTCAGACTTTGCAGATCTGTAATTTTAGCCAAGTGGCTCCCTTTGCCCTCACCCCCATAGTGACTGTTTAAGCCCGGCTCTCTGGGGAGCTGCCTGGCCGTGCACTGGGAAGTGTGGGTGCTCTCTGTACTGTATGCTGTCTTGGAACAGATGGCAGAGATAGCTGTGCTTGTCTGGAAAATGAGCTGCCAAGGACTCCTTTCCAGAAGCCACCGGTGAAGCTTGGAGACAGAGGTGGGTGAAGTTGTGCTAACCCAGGGCCCTTGAGGTTGAGTGAGCTTCCGCTTCTCAGAGGTAGAGGAAAGAGCCCTGAGTCCTTTCTGGCCATCTGGTCTGAGTGGCCCAGTCTGAGCTGCCCAACTTCCCGGCTTCAGCGCCAGAGAAGCAAAGACAAGGCAGAACTTTGGCTTCCTTCTCCAAATGTGCATGAATCACCCAGGAGCTCATTTTATGTCCTTTCCTTTCCCTAAATGCTGAAAGTCACACTGAGTGGCAAAAATGAGAATAAAAAATATTTTAGGGGCTAGGATCGGGGACTGGAAGGAGGATATCTGAAGATGGGCTTGTTTGGATTGATTGAGGTCAGATTTGAGCTTGGTGGCTTTTTCTCAGAGTTACTACTCCGATGAAGGTTAGCTTTACTGTCAAGTAAAATACAGGAAATATGTTTAAAATATGGTTCTGGTTACTGTAAATGAAACGGTTAAAATGTCATAAATACTTTATGATAAACATTTTTTAAAAAATTTGCTTAAAAGCAGCACCCCAGCCAGCAGGGCATGACAGGGAGCTTTTTTAGTGCTGGCATTTGAGTGTGCCGGCTTCCTGGGGTAATGAGTCAGCACTGCTTTCTATAATTGGAGCAGCTCTGACCGCCCCGAGCACAGCAGGGGTCCCCCAGCCCCCAGGGCTTGGTTGTGCAGTCTTCTGTTCACATCAGCATTGAATGTCACCTCAGCGCAGGGATGAACTCTCAGCTGTGTCCCAACTCCTCCAGGCTGCAGCTGGGACCCCCTTTTCCCAAGGGCTCTGTCGCTGTCAGAAACCACACGTTTGGCTTCCTCGGCATCTCCTTTGGCTCTGGTCGATGACTTTTAGGTTCTGCCTTGAGGAACTGGTTGAACACAGTTTGTTAAATGAAAAACCCACATTTAGGCAGGGTCACGGTGCCCAGGGCTGCAGCTGCCCCCAGCATCCTGTGCTGATGCCCTGCCTCCAAGTCACAGTTGCCTGGGGACGAGGTGGGAGAATTGGACGAGGGTGTGAACTTCAAAGTTGGCATTCTGGCAGTGACAGGTCAGGTGGGAAGATTCAGCCAGTTTAACATCTGAGAGTAAGGTTCTAAGGGGAAAACTTTTCCAGCAACTCACTCATTCTTCTTAGAAACACAGTGAGAGAAAGGTTGAAAGAACTGAAAAAAAATTAAATAGCTGGGGCTGCGGGTGGGCAGCTCAGGCAACTGTGGCCCTGAGTGGCTCTGTCCCCTTTGGGTTCTGTTTGTCTGCTCAGCATTGTTTTCCTGTGTTGAGATAACCATGGGTGGGGTCCACCCTCCAGATCACAGGCCCTACCACACCCTGGGCCACAAGCCTTGGATGGAGCCATTCGAGGGAGGCTCGGCCCCCAGGATGATGAGGCCTCTAGATCATGCCACCACCTGCCACAGAGGGTGACCCAGGCTCAGGGAGTTGGTGTCTGTCCAGTGCTCAGAGCAGGGGCTGGATGTAGAAGGGATGCATGAATATTATTCCTAGGTCCTCAGTCTCCTGGCCTCAAAGGCACTTGGTAGTGAGCCCTGGGTTAGTTAGATCATTTTAAAAGGATCCTGGTGTTCCATGGTTGGCAGGAGGGTTCCTGGGGCTGAGAATCAGCTCTGTAGGGCGGACACCAGCTCTTCCCAAGGTGGTAGGCCAGCCCTGGGTGTCTCTTGGTGAGTCACCTTTGTGAGTGCCAGAGGAATGCCACCTTCATGGAGATGAGGATCACAAAGGAAAACAGCAGATCACGGTGGGTCCAAGGGTATGTGGACCACACTCCGGTTCCCATCCCAGAGAAGGTGCTGGTTCCTGCATGGGTCCTCCCTGTGGGGCCTGCCACTGGGTTGCAGGTTGCAAGCCCTCTTAGGAGTGCCACTGGTTAAGCATCCAGGTAGCACATTAGCCATGTTCTTCCATGGAGGATTTGGGCAGTTGTGTGGATTCTGGAACTCGAGTCACTTCTTACAGTACAGACAAGCTAGGAGAGAACCAACATGATCACTTTTGCCAACAGGAGAAAGAGTCACTTAACAAGGCAAGCAGCAAGGTCACCAACAGGATGAAAACAGGGCCTCTTTCAACAGGATCTGCTGTCCGGGTATTTCCAACTGCCAGAGGGGGCCAGTCCTGCCTGGCTGCAGACAGTAGTAAAAAGGAGCACATTCCATGGTGGAAACTAGTGAGCAGTTTAAAAGGATATCTACTGTAAAAGGAAAATGCCTCCAGTTTGGTGACATCAGGAAGTTGTCCAGGGTCCTGTTGTCATGGTGCCTTCTACCCAGGGAACAGCTGGTGGCTTGGTGATCCTGCCTCCCACTCCCTCCATGTCACAGTGGGACCTGGGCTCTCAGTACCTCCTGCCTAGCTGTGTCCCCACCACTGGCAGCCATGTAGGGCATTCACCCCTGTTCAGGGCAAGTTCCTTAAATTCTCAGTGTCCCACCCTCTTCATTGTGAAATGAGGGTAATTGCACCAGCCTTATGAGTCTTGTGAGTTTGTGGTTAGCACACAACTGTGAGGGACAAATTCATTTGTTCAGAGGTAGAACTGGGTGCCTTGGTATCTACATGGGTCCCTCTGTCCTTGGGAATCCATCAGGAGTTGATTCTCAGACTCAGGAGTGAGCCCCCTCCTGTGTCCCCAAGTCTTGCATTCACAGAGAATTAATCATTAGGCAAATAAGGAACGCTCCTTGGTTGTCTCCAGGAACCTGGGGCCCTGGATGCCATACCATTGTCACTGTCACCAACATCATCACAAAAGGTCAGCTCCCATTTTGTTCAGCCCCAAGCACATGGTGTATGTGTGCTTCACTGATTCCCCCTCCTGTGTCCCCAGCGAGATGGCAAGGCAGGTCACTCGTTTCACTCAAAGTCCTAAGATTCCCACACACAGCAGCCACTTCCAAGATGCACAGGTGACAGGGGAGTCCATCATGGCCACTTGGCACAGGAAAAACAAGAGGCACAGGTGACCAGCAGTGTTTGTGTGTAAATTACACAAGCAGGCGGTAGGCCCAGAAACCTGGCTGCTGGCTAAATCTGCCCCTGCAGGGGGCGCAGCCCAGTTCTGTGTGAGCTGCCCAGATACTGGTTATTTGAAAATCATCACAATATGAGGAGGTGACTCATATTGAAAAAGTTAAGTAAGAAACACTTAAAACTAGACCAGGGTGAGCATGGCATGGCCCCTTCTCACCACTTCCAAAGGTGACATGTGGGTGCATAGTGCTCTGAAGGCAAAGCCTCAGCCCAGCCCTCAGGTGCTTTGAATGGCTATGTCCTCAAGGTGGTTCCTGGGTCCTCTGATGTCTCCACTCTGAATGATCAGGCTTTCAGTGCTGAGACTGCATGTGTCGATGGGTGGTAGATGGTGCTGGGGTGTGTGTGTGTGTGTGTGTGTGTGTGTGTGTGTGTGTGTGTGTGTGTGTTGGGGCTAGGGTATCCCTGCAGTGGTCACTCATGATGTGACCTTAAGGACCCCTCTTTGTCCACTTGGCTGGGCCTGGGGGTCAGGGACTTAGCACCCTAAAGGTTCTGGAAGGTTCTGGGGTTCACAGCTCAGGCAAGGAAAAGCCAACAACAAATTGGCAGGAAGTTGGGCTCACAGGAAGAAGTGGGCTTGGCTGCTCTCAGAGGATTCCTTCTGATGAAAAAAATAGATGTCACTGCATCTGGTGTGATCAGAAAAGCTAAGGGTGATGCCAAATCTCATCACTGTGGTTTTTCTGCTCATCTTCTGCTTTCCACACTGATTACCCTGGAAGTGAGCACTTCTGCCCTTCCCCCACCCATTCTTTCAAAAATTTGTCATACTAAAAATATTGGAATTTTTAACAATGGCAGGAAACATCATTTTAGCTCTTCTTATTGGACAAGTGACAAGGTATGTGAGGGATGCATGGGAATTTTTGTATTCAGCCAGACATAAAGGCAAATTTAAGTAGCAACTTCAAAAAGTCAGGCTTACTTGCTCTCACACAGAAAGGGGCCTCTGTTCCCTTGTCTGTACTTTTCTCAGACAGGAAGCAAGTTGTGCTGGGCAGGGTCAACATGCATCCAGTTCATCCCTCTCCCTGCTCTGTCATTTTTAGCACTGGCTTCCTTCCTCTACTTGTCTTATGCTTTCAAGAAGGTTGCTAGAGCTCTAGCCATCACTTCTACATCCCAGTCAAGGAGAAGGAGGGAAGTAGGAGGAAAGAGGTTAAGCCTCCTGAATATTAGTTCCATGGTGGAATAACAGCAAACTCCCTCCTTGAAAGCCCACAGCATCCTTAGCGGTCCTTTGGCCCTGGCTGTGCTGACAGATAACAGGGAATGTGACTCTTTCTGCTCTTCAGCCATTGAACAGGCTAAATTGTGTGAACAGACTCCATGTCCTTGGAGCCAAGAGCCACAAGACTCTGTGCTTGATGGCAGCTGGGCCCTGGAGCCAGGTCTGGAGACTTCCTGGACCGAGGGAGTGGTCCTGAAGCGTTGGCAGGGAGGACAGCGTGCTAGGAGCCCAAGCACAGGGACACTGCTGTGTCCTCACTTGGGAGGGAGGCTCGGCTCGAACTGAGTCTCCATGGCTTCCTGTGTGGGCAGACCTGCTGCTCCAGGTGAGGGGTGCCCTCGGCAAGGACGGTCCTGTTGCCCCTG